GAAAAAGGAGATTTTAATATTAAAATTTTAGATAATTATCTTTGTGCTATAATCTCATGTTTATAACACATGATTCTTTGCAGAATTTCTAAATCAGGAATTTTTTTTAATGTTGAACTTAAATTTTTTGACTTAAAATTTTATTTTTAACTGACACATAAAAACATCAAAATTACACAAATACAAAATTATATTATTAATGAGATATTAGCCAAGTTCAGTGGTGCACACCTGTACTCCCAAAAATTTGGGAGGCTGAGGCAGGAGGATCACAAGTTCAAGGTCAGCCTCAGCAACCTAAGAAGACCCTGTCTCAAAATAAAACATAAAAAGGACTGGAGATGTAACCCAGAGTATCTCTGGGTTAAGTCCCAAGTACTGCCAAAAAAAAAAAGGGGGGGGGGACAGGACAGGGGTATGATGTGGTGGTTCAATACATCAATAATCAATACATATATAATACATTGTGTAATCTTTTAAATGGACATTTTGTATTAAATGTTCCTTTAACATTTTAAATGATCAAATGTCAACTATCATTAATTTTCTGATTTTGTTAAATATGTTATAGTCACATAAGATGGTAAAGTTAGGGAAAGCTAGTGAAAGGTACATGGGAACTCTATTATTTTTGCAAATTTCCTATAAGTCTAAAATTATTTTAAGATAAAAAGTAAAACATGTTTCAGAAATGTTGTTAATGGGGGAAGTTGTACATGTATAGGGGGAAGAGAGATATGAAATATGTCTATATCTTCCTCTTAATTTTGTTGTGAACCTAAAACTGCTCTAAAAATATCAAAAAATTTTTTAAGCCTATTATCAGGTGTGGAACATTTTAACATGGTACTACAATATACAATCCTGTCACAATAGTTTGGTTCACAATAACAATAAGCCACATCTTTATTTCATATATGTATAAAAGTCTCTAAAAATTTTAGTGTAATCCTAGCACAGTAAAACCATTCACTGATGATTATTTTGGTCACTACCATTATTATTTACAGGCATGTAAATGAAGAGTTCTTTTTTCTTTTTTATTAATTTTTAAAATTTATATATGACAGCAGAAAAGTTTTTTTTTAAAATACAAAATCAGTTGCAATTTAGGAATTACCAAGAATTTCAATTTCTTGATCCTGAATACCAAAGATTACTATCCTTCAGGAATTCGTAAACATTAGCTGACACAAACTGACGGAAACAAGTACAAATCATCTCTGGAGTCAGGTGTCTTCATCTCAGGTCTTAAAATTTCCCAAGTTCTGGCTGGTTGTGGGGGTGCACGCCTGTAATCCCAGCAGCTTGGGAGGCTAAGACAAGAGGACAGGGGATTCAAAGCTGGCCTCAGCAACAGTGAGGTGCTAAGCAACTCAGAGAGACCCTATCTCTAAATAAAATACAAAAGAGGGCTGGGGGTGTGGCTCAATGGTTAAGTGCCCCTGAGTTCATCCCTAATACCCTACATCCCCCAAAATTCCCAAGTTCTATGAGCAGCACACAATGAAAGACAGCCAGATATACAAGACCACATGAATGAGAACTATGTGCTGCCCAAAACAGCCCACTAAGGTTTAGTATTTGGGGATCATATACCAACAACTACGGAAACAAACAAATAAACAACCATTGAAACAGGAGATGACAGGTAACAGAGCAGATAAGAAAAACAAATAGAGCTTCTAGAAAATGAACCTTCATGACTTCTTAATTCCTGGGACTTAAGAAGTAACAATAGTTAAAGAGCCTCACTGTGGGCATGTACAGCATTGGATTATTTTGCTACATTAACTGTGTCTGATCAGGGAGCTGGCATCTCTACACTGACCCTCCTCAGCTCCCCAGGAGTCCAAGTCAAAGCAACAACAGAGGCAGGAGATTCTGAAAGAAGTCAAGGTAGAACAGGCCATTCAATCCAATCTCATTTAGTTACTCAGGTGTGGTAGACTGCTTTTCATCTCTGTGACTAAAACACCTGACATAACAACTTGAAGGAAAAAAGGTTTATTTTGGCTCATGGTTTCAGAGGTTCAGACCAAAGTTAGCCAGCTTCATTGTTTCGGGACCTGAGTGAGGCAGAACTCATGGCAGCCAGGAAGCAGGGGAGGATAGGAAGAGGCCATTGATAAGAACAGTCCCCAAGGGTACACTCCCAGTGACCTACTTCCTCCAATCATGAACCACCTGCCTACAGTTTCCACCACCTCCTAGTAGTCCATTCAGCCATCAATGGGTTAATCCACTGATGAGGTAAAAGCCCTTGTGAACCAATCACTTTCCAAAAGCCCCACCTCAAGACATTGCTGCAACAGGGACCACGTCTTTAATACATGAGCTTCTGGAGGACATTTCAGATCCAAACCATAACATCAAGCATTTAATGAGCCCCTACTATGTGAGGAACACCACACCAGGTGTATGAGAAATGATACACTGATAGGTATTACCTGTTTTTTCAGTAGGCATCCAACAATTAAATATAATATTGACTAGAATCAGAATATTGAAAATTCTTTAAACCTTAGGCCTTTAAATTTCAAGATTAAAGATTATGCAGGACTGGATTACAGAAATAAAGCCTGGTACTCCAACTGATGAATTTCTGCCTTTTGAGAGACTATTTATATTGTTGGAAATAACATTTATGAACATTCAAAAAAAGAAGTCCTTAAGAGACATCATCTGGGGCTGGAGATGTGGCTCAAATGGTAGCGCGCTCGCCTGGCATGCGTGCGGCCCGGGTTCGATCCTCAGCACCACATACAGACAAAGATGCTATGTCCGCCAAATACTGAAAAATAAATATTAAAGTTCTCTCTCTCTCTCCCTCTTTCTCACTCTCTCTCACTCTTTCTTTAAAAAAAAAAAAGAGACATCATCTGTCATTGCAAGGAATAAGTAATTTCAACAAACTGACAGCAGATATAAACAATACACCGACTAGCAACACATAAGACCACATTAACTTCCCCAATGCTGTATTTGATGGATTTGAATTTTTAAAATTCTTCATGATTGAGACTCCAATTACCTACTGTAGGGCTTTCCCAGTATGAAGTTTTTAGTAATTAAAAAAAAGATACATAGTAACAATACTGGTTGTATTATTACTAAACTGGTCCTGAAAAAGAAGGTCAGGTGAATAAGCAAGAACAGCAATGTCATCACTTAGTACTTCCAGTCCCTTAATCCATGAGTCCCTCTGAACACATGGCACAGTGTTCTTAAGTATGGGAGACAAAAATAGTTCAGTGGAACGTGATTCATTTCAAAAAGTGTGGTTTCTGGGAAGTCCCTGCTACCTGGAATTTGAGAGCCTTTAGTTTTCTCACCTGTATATGCAATAAAAGAATAGTTTCCAAATGTATCTTGAATCTTTTAAGTATGGTCAACAAGAGAAGACCCTAGTACTTGCTATGGCTTTGGGGATGCAACAGCCAGCCAAGTTTCCTTTAGAATTTTTTTTTTTTTTTTTGGTAATCCAAAGTCATCAAGGTACCTGGTATTCCTCCAAGAGCTCAGGTATGCATGTTATAGGAACACCTTCTTAAGGACATGTCTATGTACCTATCTAGTGCTCAAGGACAAGTGTTGCTGTTGTTCCTATTCAGCACAGGTGACGATGGAGCTCAACTGTTCCCTAATTGTCCCAAGACCCCTCCTATGCCATATCTCTGAATTGGAGTTCCCTTAGAACTGTCCTCCTCTCCTGAGCATATTTTGAATAGAGGTTTCCTCCCTGTCTTCACTACTATCTGCTTTCCATCTTTTAAAAAACTACTTGGTTTCTGGCCTTCTAATAGCACCCCCCACTGCCCCTGCAGTACTGGGGATTGAACAGAGGTGCTCTACCATGGAGCTACATCCCCAGCCCTTTCAATCTTTTTTTGAGGCAAGATCTCACTAAATTGCGCAGGATGGCCTTATACTTGGATCCTCCTGCCTCAGCTGCCTGAATAGATAGGATTACAGGTGTACACCACCATTCCTGATTCCAATAATACTCTTTATTGTGGAAATTTTAAAATTACACATTCCTTATTCTCTTTCAGAGATCTAAGGTAGAAGAAGAGATAGGTCTGCATCCTCAGTCTGCCAACTTGACCTAGGCTCTCTGCACCTCCATTCTTCTGCTTTTATTCTTATTAGTATCCTGCAATTCCTAGATTCTCAGATTACTTTTTATCTTTTCCTTTTCTGATGACATGTAGGTTCAGAGGTCTTGTACACATGCTAAGAGTGACTAGCAGTCATGAACTCCTAGGGACAGAGGCCAATTGCTCATGGCTCCCTCTCTTATTCTTCCTACTCCATAAATTATTTTTCCTGTGAATCTGGTAAATGTGAAATATCCAGAGACTGGAGGCTTCAGAATATGATTTTTTGAATATGCAAAGTGGAAGTAATAAACTGTAGTAGTAAAAAGCATGACCTTAAATACTAGCTCCCTTGACATATTAATCTCTGTAAGTCTTAGTTTCTTCCTTCCTAAAGCAGCCTTATGAATTATCCCTACACCTTTAAGGAATCCATGAAGACTCTATACTTACTAGTAAGTTAAGAAATGTTAGCAATTATTATTACTGAAAATGAGTCCTTTGACCACAGAGATACAAGTTGTAATTTTCTCAAGAGTCTTAGCCTGGAAGCCTTTAGTCCTTATAGATCCTGATGAAGAAAGTTATATTTAGGGACTTCTCATCTGCACTACACCAGGGACATCATAGCTGCAGACGAGGTACACATGTCAATGGGGTACACACATGTCTCTAAGTCTTGCACTTCTTTAAGCAGCAAATGAGGTCAAAGGACACTGGTCATAGAATATAGCAAGACTGAGCAATTTCATTGTAGTGACAGAATAAGAAACTAGGTAATGAAAATACAATTCATTCTGTCATCAAAGATGGCAATAACCCCTAAAACACAAAGGCAGGCTGTTACTGGGACTGGTGGGTGCCAAAAAACAAGTACACGTTATTTTCCTCATCACTCACCTTTCAGTTGCTGGATTTCCAGATTCAAACTTTCAATGTTATTCTCATAGAACTCTAGATTCTCAAGGGTCTCCGCCCTTAAGGATTCATCCTGCTTCTCGTCCAGCATCAAGTTCAGCTCCTCCTGAGCCCTGGTGTACATGTCCAAGTCCTGTTCCATTTCCTGGATCCTCACTAGTACCAAGGGGCACAGGGATGTCTGGTCTAGACTCTTTTCCATATGCTCAGGGTCTTCCTTCTCTAGAGTGTCCCAGCTAGGATGGTGACAGGAAAGGGGCTTGGGAGAGGCTGCATTCATCCTCTGCTGTGCATAGGGAGGCAAGGGAGCTGGGCGAGAGGGCCTCACAGCCAAGGGGGGTGCAGGTTTTGGGCTATGGTCAACCAGCAAGTGGGAAGAAGTGGATGATGGAGTGCAGGGTCGAGGTGGTGGTGGCCTTAGGGCTTTTCTTCTCTCAGGTAGCATCTGTGGGGGAATTAACTTTGAGGAACCTCGGACAATATCCTTCTCAGAGTTAAAGTCTGTGATTGAAAAGTGGCGTGAAATTTTGTCTATCTCTGTACTAGGCCCTGACAGGCTCTTCTCAAACTCTATCAGCTGTTGTGTCAACTTAGAGTCCAGGTCAATGCTTCCATCTCCCTGTGGAAGTGCTGTTACTTCCACAGTGGATCCCTGGCCTTTTGGACTAGGCTTCCTCTCTGATCTCTCTGATGAGGAGCAGAAGCTGGAGGCATTTTCTTTGGAGGCTAGGTGCTTTTTAACACATCTTGTCATACCCTGGAGCTGAAGGCTCAATTGGCTGGGTTTGGCTACCCTTGAGGATGCAAGGGAAGAGCCCCTGTGAAGGGGAGGCTCTGGCTTCTGAAGAAATCTCTGCTGGGCATACGTTCCTTTGGGAGGTAGGCTGGAATAGTCTCTAGTCCTGGCTTCTAGAGGAAAGTGGCCAGAGAACTGTTCTGCACTTTGGTAGCTCCCTCCTACAGTAGAATAATACTGGTTTTTCTGCAATTGGCAATGAAAAGATACCTGAGGTTGGGAGTAAATACCATTGACCACCTCAAAAGGTTCAGTCACAGAAGGGTCTTTCGCAACAGGCTCTATGTGCTCCGCACCTGGGCTTCTGGGGGACCCTTCTGAGAAGACTTCACCTGGATCAGAGTTTTTATTTACATCACATTCAGGAGTCAGGTGATCTAGGGGAGAAGTAGAAGTTTCAGAAAGCACATAGTTGGGCATCTCTGCTGTGTACTCAAGAGATTCATATCTTGGTTCCTCCATTACTACCGTGTTCTCCAAATCATCCAAAGAGCTTTCTGGGGTCTTGGTGAGGCTGCCTTCCTGGGGTGGGGCCATGGTTTCTTCTACTCTGGTGTTAGGACATAACTTTACAAATCTGTGAGGAAAGATGCCTGTTCTTCCCTTGAGCCATCCTTCTAGCCAGCCATCTTCCAAGGTTGCCAGGATTCTAATTTTATCCCCTACTTCGAAATCTAACTCATTCGGCTCCAGGGCTTGGAATCTGTAGAGGGCAATTCCATAGGCCCCTGATTGCTCGTCCTCCTCATCTGGCCCTCTTTCTTCTTCTCCAAGAGGAATATCTACCTCACCATTAGCAATGCAGTCTTCTCCATTTCCAGCACTTATCAACTCATCCACAGTCCTCAAAGGCCCCAAAAGTTCTACAAAACCTTCTGGAAAAATGCCTCTTCGACCCTCTAACTCCCCCTCAAACCAGCCTGGCTCAGGAACTCCAATAATGGTAATCACATCCCCTTCCCTGAAGTCTAGCTCCTCATCCAGCTGGGCAGAAAGCCCCATCAGGGCACGTGCTTGACCCATGGAATATTCAGGAATCTGAAGCTGTGTACTCTGTGAGTGCCACTGCCGGCTTTGAGATGAGAGGCAGAGCTCCCGGACACACGAAGATGGGAAGAAGCCCCGGGCACCCCAGCAGCTTCTGCCCTGCAGCCAGCCTCCAGTGGAAGTGCCATCAAGAATCACCAGGTCACCTGAAGAAAGAGAAAGAATGACCTCAGTCATCATCCCAGCAGAGCATTACTGTAATCAGTAGAGCAGGGCATCACTTCAAACATCAACTGAATCAAGGAAATACATACCTAGAATTTTAAGAACATGAACACTTGTAATAATCGAATGAATGGAAACATTCCTATAAACCTAGGGTTTTCAGAGTGATCCATGGAACCTTAGGGGTGGGTCCCTGAGATCCTTTCTGTGAGGTCAAAACTAATGAATACTTTATCCACATTTTCCACTGCATTGACATTTGCAATGACTATAAAAGCAATGGGGATAAAACTGCTGGCGATGCATAAACCAAGGCAGCGGCAACAAAGCACACAGAACTGTTGCAGTAGAGTCACTGTATTCTTCACCACCGAGTGCTCAATGGTGTAAAAAGCAAATCTAGTTGCTGTTAAGAACATCCTTGATGAAGTTACATTTGTTGTATTAAATTTCAACTCTTGAGAATGCTTCCTTTGTAACATTCTGTGTGACAACATGAGAATTACACACACAGAGCTTTTCCTGTCTGTCTTGAGGAAAAATAGTTGAGGGGCCAAGTTATATGCTTGAACCAACTGCTGTTTTTCACCCAACACTGTTTTATGTGAAAGAATGACTAGCAGACAGTTTATTCAGGCCTGGATAGCCTGGAGACACTTCCTCTAAAAGGGAAGAAATGAGTCTGTAACCTCAAGGAAAATAAGCAAAAATATTTGTTGCCCATGGTAAAATTCCAACTTCCAAGCTAAAATAAGAAGGAAAACTCTTATCTACAACCATGAACTTGACAGCTTTCCATAGTTGAATGTTTTTCTGATGAGATCACTAGGAATATTAACAAGTGTAATTGTTGGTGTTGTATAATAAAATGGCCCACATTTGGTAATAACTCATTGAATCAATATTTTCTACATATCCAATGCATGATGTTATAAAATCATTCATGGTTAAAAGATTCATTAAAACCAAAACAGACTAATGGATTTTAGTGTAGTAGTATGAAAAGTTCACTGATATGATTTCAGTTCCCACACTGCAATTGATCCTTAAGAAAACTACCATTTGTTGCATTTTGGTACAGTGTTAAAGAAAAATATTCACAATTATCTGAAAAGACTATTAAAAGACTCCTCTCTCCCATTACATATCTGTGTGAGGCTGGATTTTTTAGAATATACTTCTAACAAAACAACATATTGTAATAGATTAAATATAGATGCAAGTATGAAAATCCAGCTTTATTCCATTAAGTCAAACATTAAAAAGATTTATAAAAATGTAAACCAATATCATTCCTCACTAAATTTGATTGGAAAGTTAGTTTTTTTAAAAAATAAAAATGCTATTTATGCTAATATGTAATGAGTTTTAGTTAATTAATAAATACTTTAATTCCCAGTTTTAATAATTAATTCAAATTTCAATAGATATAACCTTTTGAGGTCTCAATATATATATATATATATTTTTTAGTACTGAGGATTTAACCCGGGGGCACTTAACCACTGAGCCTTATCCCCAGCTGTTTTTTAAATTTTATTTAGAGAAAGGTTCTCACTGAGTTGCTTAGAGCCTTGCTAACTTGCTGAGGCTGGCTTTGAACTCACAATCCTCCTGCCTCAGTCTTCCAAAACATTGGGATTACAACTGTAATCCACTGCACCTGGCTTATATCTTTTATGAGTGTGTTGGGATTGTAAAACCCAAAAGTGTAATAAATGCTGCTGTAAATAATATTACAGTTCAAGCTTCTGGGCCTAATATAGCTCTTTGGATAGGATCCACCATGGATCTAACTGCTCACACTATGTTGTTTATTATCATAAATGGAACAGTTAAGAAAGATGTCTTCAGGAATTGGTTCTTCATTGGAGGCCCAGGATACCATTTTATCATATCTCTCTTTTGCCTAAACTTTTACCATAAGCATGAAGAGCCTACTGCCCAATGACTTCCTCTCTAATAAACTTTTTTTTTTTTTTCCCAGTTCTGGAAAATAAATCCAGGGCCTCACTCATCTACCTCTGAGTTACATCCCAACCTTTTTATTTTATTTTGAGACAGAATCTCGCTAGGTTGCTGAGATGGGCCTTAAACTTTTGATCCTCTTGCTTCAGCTTCCTGAGTTGCTAGGTCTCTAGGTGTACACCATCGCACCTAGCAAATCATAGTATTCTTATACCCCAAATAAATAAAAATAAGTTTTTTTTCTGGATTCGCTCTGAAGAGGTTTACTTGCCAAGCTACCAAAAACAAAAAAACAAAAACACTATTCTTTGTTAACCCCAAAGCAACCTAATATTCATGATGATCCAGTCCTAACCTCTTCCCTTTCTAAACCATCCCCTAGGATCTACTCTATGAGATGAGACCCTATTCCACAAGGGGATTTTCACTGTTCCCCATACAAAGCCATGCCATTATGAACTCCAAACCCTTATGCATACTATATCTCTCCATCTCAAACCCTAATATGCTTTTCTAAAAAACCTTAGAAACTATGTTCATTTTGACTATCTGTTACTTACAAAACTGCTTTTATCACTAATTCTGGCACTTGTACTTTTACATACTATACAGCACCTAAAGTAAGTTTTAGACTTAGTGCAAGGTATCAAATACATTTTCCTGATATTATATTATTTTGACTAAGGGTTCCTGAAAAATAGGAACATCTTGGTCCTATATTTCTATACTTCTTTAATTTATGATTCTGTATCCATGGTCAGAGTTTTGGATCCTAAGAATTATCAGTGTTTTTTTTCCCCTACTGGCCCTAAGGCCTGCCATTAGGATGACAAAGTGAACTCACTGGTGGTGTCTCTGTTCAGACACAATGGGCCTCTTGGTGAATAGGAAAATAAAAGCTGCCCTAACTCCCACTCTTCAGGCTTTGAACTGAACTGGCCTTCTTAAAGCTGTAGAATTACAGTATTTTCTTTGTTAGGCCAGATCTCTATGAACTTGTGTAAGAGAGTTTGTTTTCCTGTCTATTTTCAGTGAAATGACTGTTTTGGTAGGCTTTATCATGTGGCAGACTATAATTCTATTGGTTATTTCTACTTAATAAAGGTAAATTTTTAAAAAAAGAATCATAATTAAGACCCTGGAAGACACACTTTTTTTTTTTGTTTGTTTGTTTTTGTTTTTTTGGTTCAATGCCCTTACTTTCCAGTCCTGCCTTTCCCTGAATGTTCTGCATGAGTTTCTCATTTTCATGAGTCATGAAAGCTCTTCCTCTGAGACCGGGGTGACTCCTTAGAAATGAGGGCTTCCTAGTGGTCATTTCAAGACTTCCCAAAGCACCAAAATGAGAAACTCCTGGAGTGGTATGATGATTTGAAAAGAGAAAAATAGGAAATGTGGAGACCCGGGTCAGCCCAAATCTTTGGTACAAGCACAACCAAACCCAGCCACAAACTGCTTGTTTTCTCTGGTTGGGTTTTTTTATTTGAACAGGAAATGAATACGGATCAAAATGATAAGAACAAATACAAGTCTTAGAATCTGATATAAGAACTCTGAAGAACTAGGTGACTCACTGACTCTGACTCCAGATACCCAGAGAACTGTGTGCTTCTTGAAGACTGACCACATATTTTAGTTTCCCCATGTAAATCATATGAGAACTTTCATAATAATAATTTATAACACATGTGCTTTGACAGATAAATACTATTTATTTATTTTGAAGTATTAGGGATTGAACCCAGGGTCTCACACATGCTAGGGAAGTACTCTGCCACTGAGCTAGATTCCCAGCCCTTTTTATTTCTTATTTTGAGACAGGTTTCACTAAGACTAAGTTATCCAGGCTTTCCTTGAACTTGATATCCTCCTGCTCAATTTATTTTTAATGGATTTTTTGTGTGTGTGGTGGGAGAGGGGGGTCTAGAAACATGAGGCTATAGGTGAGGCACAAGTGTTCTGTCATGTAGAACAATCATTAATTATATTCTATCACTCCCTATAATACCTTATTTTTTTTTCCTCTCCTTGGTCTCTGTCTTTCCTTGTCATAGTCCCTTGTTTGTTTTATTTTCTCCTCTCTTTAGTTTTTAGGACAATCAGTGGCCCTGGCCTTCTGTATTGACCCTTCTTCTAAAAGATAGTCTTGTTCTTGTGTTTAAATGTAACTCAAAATGCAAGGAACAGTGGAAACAACTGGGTAGCTTGCGGAAAAGGAGGAAGGGTGACACCTGCTGGAAGAACCACTAGTGATTCTGATTCTGGGTAGAATCTCCCTGGGAAAACGTAGGTGCATACAAAACTTCATGGAATGGTTAAGGAAACAGCCCCAGAGCACATCAAGTAACCTCAGAAAAATAGGTTAAGACTTGGGCTGGGGATGTGTCTCAAGTGGTAGCGAGCTCGCGTGGCATGCGTGCGGCCTGGGTTCGATCCTCAGCACCACATACAAACAAAGATGTTGTGTCCACCGAAAACTAAAAAATAAATATTAAAAAATTCTCTCTCTCTGTCTCCCTCAAAAAAAAAATAGGTTAAGACTAATAAAAATAGCTAAAATTTATTTAGTGTTTACCTTTTGCCACATGCTTCACATGTAGAACCTCATTTAATCCTCACAATTACCCCAGGGTGGTTATTATTTTCCCCATCTTTTATTTTTTTAATTTTTTTTATAATATTAATCTACAGACTTTTGTTTTTTATTATTTTTTAGTTATAGTTGAACACAATACCTTTATTTTATTTATTTTTATGTTGTGCTAAGGATCGAACTAGGGCCTTGCATGTGCTAGGCAAGCACTCTACCACTGACCCACAACTCCAGCCCATTTCCCCATCTTTTAGAAAAGGAAACTGAGGCTGAGAGACTTAGCTCAAGGTCATAGCTATTAAGTGGAAGAGTGGATTTAAGGTAGAGCAGTCAGAATTCTTATTCCTAAGCTATATTACCTGCTATTGATATATACATATATATATAATTTACATATGTGCATGCATAATTTTTTCTTTATTCATCCTGATGATACTACTTAAAGATAAATAAATAACAACTGAAAGGCAGCATGGTGAATAGGAAATTAAAGTTAAAATAAGATCTTCATATTTCATGAAACAAAACAGATCTCAAACATTATTCCATATACTCTTAAGGTTTCTAATCTCTTTCTGATAAATTTATCACTGAAACATTGTGACCAGGGACAGAGAAAGAACCATAAGAGTAAGCATTAGCAGTATCAGAGGATAGGGATAAGGGAGTGTGTACTACTCATGAGCTGAAACACTGATCTAATGGGGGAAAAATTCAGTCTAAGAAGTAGAAGAGCCATTCCAAACACTAGATTTCAAAATCAGTAGACCTAGACTGGAATCTGATAAACTATATGTGGTTATAAAACAATGCTTTCATTTTGTAGTGATTTTTATATCCAATTAGCAAAATTAATGCCTGTTGATGTGACCTGTCATGTATTAGAAAACAAGAGGAACTAAAATTAGGTCAGTATTTCAAGTTAAACATCCCAGAAAAAAACAAATGATGTAGGTATACCTAACTTTCCCGCCCATGAAAGTGTGTGCTTTCAGACTAGAGAACACATATAGGAGCTGGCTGGCAGCAGATACACAAAAAAATGAGATAAAACCACTGATAATTAGTTCACCGCTTTCTACCTCCTCCTCCACACACCATGCCCCCTGCCCTGATCCTCTTTCTTTGGGCTCCATTTACATCATTAATCTTACTAGGATTAACTAGTCAATAGGTAGTTAAAATAAGATCTATAAATTTTGGAACCCTGCTTGACCTTGATACAGTCTTGACACAGGTGATTCAGGCTGAAAGTTGGCACAAGTATCTTCTAAGAATCTCTCAGATGGCCCTAGGATTCCTGAAATCTGCATTTTAATTTCAAAGCCAGTTCATCTTTCCATAGTAGGTTTCAGCAGAAAATCCTTCTTTTTTATTTTAGTACCAAGACTTGACTATAATAAGATGTAATTATAAAGCAAATAAGCTAATTCCAGAAATGACATCCCTTAAATTCCTCATAATGTTGTAGACATACTGCATATTTCCATCCAGTATATTCTTCTATCCACTATGTACACCAGGAACCAGGGAAATATCCTGCTATCTACATCCTGGGCATAGCTGTGATAGAAGCCAGGGCACTTTCACCCTTTCTCCTCTCTAGACCTGGGGCAGGTCTGATGTGGACTCCAGACTATCACTGGGAGAGCTGTCAGTAAGGACAAAGTCCCTGTTATAATCTGCTTCTATTCTGACAGAAATTAACCAAAGACTGTATATAGAGTTAAGTGCAAGAATCTCCCTGGTGGTACACACCTCTAATCCCAGCTACTCAGGATGCCAAGACGGGAGGATTACAAGTTCTAGGACAGGCTGGGCAACTTGGCAAGACCCTGTCTCAAAATAAAATAAAAATACAATTTAAAAAGATTAGTAATGTAGCTTAGTGGTAGAACACTTGTCTAGCTTGTTCAAGGCCCTTGTTTCAACAAATCCTGAGTAACAAAACACCCCAAATTACAAGTTTCCTTCCTTCTCACTGACTAGGGGTTAGAGAAGTTTCTGAGGTTTTTCTCGGTGGGGTGGGGGTGAGGGATGGGGAGCATACCATTTAAGAAATTAAGTGTATCCCTTTAGTGTCATACTCAAAAGAATAAGTAACAATATTAGTAACATAACTATGAAGCTCAAACTTTTTTGTTTGTTTATTTGTTTGTTTTTTCAGCCCTGGGGATTGAACCCAGGGGTACTCTACCACTGATTTAGGTCCCTAACTATTTTTCTTTTTTATCTTTATACAGGGCCTTGCTAAATTGCTGAGGCTGCCCTCGAATTTACAATCATCCTACCTCAACCTCCCAAGTTGCTGGGATTACAGGCGTGTGCCAATGTGCCTGGTGATATTCTGCCATTTTGATGACTGAGTCATCACAAAATTGGATGGATTGTAAGTCTCAATCTGTGGAACACTACTAGTTTCTGTGTTTATGCAGAAATGTACAGATCTAACTAAGTATTTTTGTTGAAATGTTTACAGTCTATCTTTAAATTTTTATAGTCTATCAGAATGCAAGAAGTAAAAAATACTTGAAATATCTTTGAGACATGACTAAGACTATCCATTTTAAATTGTTTCCCTTTAAACTGGTTCTGGTGAGAACTTTTGTAACATTATCTACTGGTATAGGAGTAAAATGGAGTTGTTTGCATTTGTCTCTTAAATTACCACGTCAAAACTACTGTATTACTATTATGCATTAATAAGTAGTGATGTTGTTAGCAAAACCATAGCAGTATTTATGGGAAAAAAGATAAATATAAAGTGTGGCTACAGCATGGGGGGCAGTAGAAAGATAATACTGAGAATAAGGTGATATGAGTCCACCTTCTAAGGCCAAACTTCTCACCTGAAGCTAAAGCCTTTGAACCTCATTTTATAAAGTACAGTTAAAATAATACCCACTTTGCTTACCTTGACAGTCTGCACTGAGAATTAGATGAGAGTGCATTTGTGCAAAAATTATAAAATGCTACAAAGATATTATGTATTATTATTATTGCCTGTGCTACCTTGGTGTTTCTGAGGACTCTCCAGATGTTGGCCACTTAATAAAAATTCAAAGACCTCGTTATCAGAATGGGCAGACTCCACCAACCTCATCTTCAGATCAGCTTACCTCGATGGAGGGGAAGGCTATTGAATTCTTGGGATGTAAATTCACAGATGCAGACAAACAGCCTCTCTCCCTCTTTTAGACTGGGGATGGTCACAATTTCCACAAAACTGCTGGGGAATTGTCCTGAAAATAAAATCAAACATACTTACTAGTGACACTCAATATTAAATATTATTTTTCTTTTAATATTGGAATTTCTTTTTCTATTTGTGTATAAGGACAAAAACTTTTTCTGAGTCCCTTAATAGACCCTTAACTGAAAGCTCAGAGTACTAATAATTGGAGAATCTTTATAGACTAAATACAGTACACAAAATCTGAGGCATGCAGGAGACAGAGAATGCAATTCAGTAATCGATTACAATGCCACAAAGTACACTGCAAAAGAAAACATGAGCCAGGCAGTCTTGGTCTTCAAAGATCTGAAAAAATCTGGGTTAGACATAAATAATAACTCAATCCTAAAACCCTATGTCACAATGTAGGTACACAAATTGCTAAGGAAGCTCAGAGAAGGACAATAATGGGTCAGGAAGAACATGAAAGTTCTTAGGAAAAAGATCATATTTGTCTGAAGATAGTAGGATTTTAACAGGTGGTTGTAGAAGGACAGTACCTGCTATTTGGAAAGAAAAGAAAGGCTTATGGGTTTTACATTCTGAAGTCTGTGGAATTTGTCTACTTATCTTCAGACCTACCATCTTGGTCCAAGCTATCATTGCCTCCTACTTGGGTGACTGCAATAAACTTCAACTTGCCTTCCAACCTTAGGTTTTGCCCCTTCCTATCATTCTCCAATCTGCAGCAGGTAGCTTCCAAGAGACAAATCTGACTAGGCTTAAAGTGCTTTCCCAGTTTCCCACTTAATTCCTTGCCTGGTATACTCTGGTCCCATGATCAGCTCCTGCTCCTCTCTTCAGCCTCCCAGCTTGCTCTACCACTCATGCTTCATGCCTTACTGAACTTCTCTTGGTCCCTCCATGTTCACTCTCACCCCAAGGCCTATGAACAAGCAAGTCTCTCTGCTTTGCTAACTACCCAGCAGTTTTTGTCTCTGAAGAGAGGTCACTTTTACTAGGAGGTAATCTATCTCTCAAATGTGGGTTAATGTCCACAGTGTCTGCTCTCAGGACTATGTCACATACTTAAACCTAACATAAATGTATTCGAGTCAAGGATTGGATTAATACAGGTGCATGTTGTGTGGAAAAACATATGCCCTTCCCTAGACTAGTTAATGAAAGAAATCCATGTTGAGGTTGAGAGATATATACGTTAATTATATATATATAAAAGTAACCAGAAGTATAGAATGTGGGAGGCAGGTAGCAGCCAGGGCAGAGGGTGGCTTTAACTAATTGGGTCCAATTGCAAATCTAGGAAGGAGTGAATAGGATGTTAGGTTCCCTTGAAAAGAAAGAAAGAGTAAAAATTGTTAAAAGAAGACAGCCAGAAGAAACAAGTGGGAAGCACCTTATGTTCCATTGATCAGAGACAATCTGATTGTGAAAATAAATGATAAATAGTAAGGGTTCTGAAGAAAGGAATAATTGGTATTTTGATAAGAGAAATAAGTGCTGAATATGGGGCTGGCATTGTGGCTCAGTGGTAGAGTGCTCACCTAGCATGTGTGAGGCACTGGGTTCAATCCTCAGCATCACATAAATGTGAAATAAAGATATTGTGTCCACCTAAAACTATAAAGTAAATATTAAAAAATAGTGCTGAGGGGCTGGGGATGTGGCTCAAGCGGTAGCGCGCTTGCCTGGCATGCGTGCGGCCCGGGTTCGATCCTCAGCACCACATACAAAGATGTTGTGTCCGCCGATAACTAAAAAATAAATATTAATAAATAAATAAATAAATAAATAAATAGCGCTGAATACAAAGGATAAAGAGCTGGGAAGAAGCCAGCCCACATTGATGCACACAAGCTGCAGAGCCTGATGAGGACCTGGACTGACATCCCATCACTTGTCATCTTTTACTGATCCTCTGCATGGTCCTCACCACTCTCAAACTCTACAGCCACATCTTGACCCTGGTGAGAGCCACAAATTCTCCCTAGACCCTTTCCTCAGCTGGCCATCAGCTCCACCCCAGTAGAAGCCTGCCTTGGTTCCTGACCTGATCACCATGGTCTGAGTGAGTTTGCATCTGCTGGACTTAAAGCCTAAGGCTTGAGACTTTTGATCTGACACTTGAACTTTGCACATAGAGGGAATGTCTGTCATTAGCCTGTCATGATTAAGTGTGTTTTGTTTGCTTTGAATTAATTAATCTAGAATTGTTTGCTGTGAATTAATTAATCTAGAATTGTTTGCTGTGAATTAGTTAATCTAGAAGTGTTTGCTGTGAATTGATTATGTCTATTGCAGTGACTAGCATTAAGGATTGTCATTTTCTTGATTAAGAACCTATAGAGTGGGCTGGGGATGTGGCTCAAGCGGTAGCGCGCTCGCCTGGCATGCGTGCCGCCCGGGTTCGATCCTCAGCACCACATACCAACAAAGATGTTGTGTCCGCCTATAACTAAAAAAAAATAAATATTAAAAATTCTCTCTCTCTCTCTCTCTCTCTCTCTCTCTCTCTCTCTCTCTCCTCTCTCACTCTCTCTTTAAAAAAAAAAAAAGAACCTATGGAGTGAAATTGTATTGAGTTATTTGAGTGAATAAAGCATTGTCTAGGGGGAAAAAAAGAGAGAGAGAGAGAACTAGGAAGAAAGGAGAAAGACAGGGATGGAAAACCAGGCTAGGCTGCTGGCATCTAAGCATTCAGCTCCTGAAGGAATTGGTAAGGAGAGATGGAAAGATGACAAGCTTTCTCCTCACAGGTAAGACCTGCGTGTGAGTATAGAAGAAAACAGACAGGATTCTGAAGTTAGCGACCTAGGCCTCTCATTTAACCTCTATTTTTAATGTGGAAAGAAGGGAGTGGCTATGGTCCATTGTGCTCAGGAGGAATTAAAGCCTCTTACCTGTAACATCCTCCTTCTTTCCTAGAAGCCAAAATTCATCCACCACTGCCAGCACCTCGATGACATCTCCCACAAAGAGGGGCAGCTCTTCTGATACGCTAGGGCAGAAGTCAAAGATGGCTCGAACTACCGAGCCAGTCTCCATGGTTCAAACTGGAAAGTCAAAACAAACAAAAGCATCAATATCTAAGACATAATATAAATCTATTTATTTAGAATGATAAAGCTTAAAATATAAGCATACTTAAAATGAAGCCAAAGTTATACAAAAAGTTTGTAGTTTATATTTTTAAAAAATCAAAAGTACTTTTTCATTCTGTCTGCTTTTGTCTTTTTTTTTTAATCTTTTATTGTGAGACAGGGTCGAAATTGCCCAGGCTGGCCATGAATTTGTGACCCTCTCCCTTTAGTCTCCCAAGTGGATGGGATTAGAGATGTGTGCCACTGTGGCTGGCTTCATTCATTTTTTTTAAATTTATTTTTTAGTTGTAGTTGGACACAATACATTTATTTATTTATTTTTATGTGGTGCTGAGGATCGAACCCAGGGCCTCGCATGTGCTAGGCGAGTGCTCTATCACTGGGCCACAAACCAAGCCCTCATTCATGTTTTTCAAAATAATAAATTCTTCACATATTTTCATTTAATTCTCAAAGTAAATCTGGAATTGGAAAAATTAAAAAGGCAACCTTTGCCTCTGAGTGATAGAAGACATTCAAGTTGGCAGCACATGTAGGCTTTTCAGATGCCTGAAGAGAGCAGCCAGGAACTGATGTTTGAAAAGTACCACAAAATGCAGTACTTTTAAAATGGAATATTAAAACTACAATTTTTAGATACGGCATTTCATTTATTCCCCATTATCATCTTAAAGGTTGGGATACTGAGGTTGGTAGGTTAGAAAACCTAATTTGTCCAAGATCACAGAGCTCATTGCAGCAGGGCCAGGGCCCATACTGAGGGCATCTGGCTCTTACTGACCGAAATTGCATCTGCAAAAATACAGAGTGCAACCCTCTGAAGAGCAGCAGGACCACACCTCCACAGGGTGAGATTTAAAACATACTGAAAAGTTAAAAAATCCATGAAAAGAAAGAGATAGGGGTGTGTGGGGCCTCCAGATAATTGAGTATACTATACCAGATCATTTATGTTTCAGGTTCAGAGGTGCCTGTGGCCCAACAGGGGAGAGTCCCTGCACTGCCCTCCATCTGTGCTGTAAGCAGATGACGAGTCTGTTCCCACGACACGTGTAGCTGTGGTTCCAGGGTGTGCCTAAGCACTAAAAGACAGGACACAACCAGTGTGCTGTATCCACCTGTGAAACACCAGCCGTGCATCACTAGAGCCACGTCCTGCCTAGGCCTTCAATAGGAGCAGCTGAAGATCCCTGCTGACCAGTTCCCAGGCCTATTTCTTTATTCACCTCAAGTACTCATTTGGTGTTGGTGGAGATGAGGTCTCTAACTTTCATCTCCGTACAACTATAATCTGACAAAAAAGCTCTAAGAGCCTAGAGACAAAAAAATAACAGATGGTTGTAGCCTTATTAAGTTTATAATCTAAGAAAACATTCACATGGAAAAATGTAATAGGTGTTTAATAAAGAGTTCAGTGTACCAATGCAGAGTTATCTATAAGATTTTAATGTGCCAGGCAACTCAATTAAATATTATGTATTTAATTTGTATTGTTGAGTAAAAGTAGTTTATTTTTGTGTTACTGGGGTTATTCTTTTCTATGAGATGATTTGGGTCCATAGTGAAAAGCAGAAGTGGCTAGTAATATTTCCCACATCCTCTGTCCTTTCTTACCACAGATTTTTTCGCTTTTTATATTTGTTCTTTTTAGTTATACATAACTGTAGAATGTATTTTGACATATTATACATACATGGAGTACAAATTCCCATCCTTCTGGTTGCACATGATGTGGAACTACATTGGTCATGTATTCATATATGAATATAGGAAAGTAATTGACTCTACTATCTTTCCTATTCTCATTCCCCCTCTCTTCCCTTCATTCTCCTTTGTCTAATCCAAAGTACTTCTATTCTTCCCTACCCTCCCCCCCTTATTGTGAGTTATCATGGGCATATCAGAGAAAACATTTGGTCTTTGGGTTTGGGGGACTGGCTTATTTCACTCAGCATGATAGTCTCTAGTTCCACCCATTTATCAGTAAATGCCATAATTTCATTTCTCTTTATGGCTGAGTAATATTCCATTGTTACCACATATTCTATTTCCTTTCCTTTTTTTTTTTTTTTTGTGAGGCTGGGGATGGAACACAGGGTCTTGTGCATGTTAGGCAAGCGTTCTACCCCTGAGCTATACACCCAGATCCCAGATTTACTTTAAGTTTAAAAAAATCAAACTATAATTATATGCTGAGAACATAGCATAATGTGAGTACAAAGCCTAGGGTTCTACTGTCAAAGAGACCAAGACTCCAAACCCAGCTCCATTATTTATTAGCCATCTCATTCCAGATATGTCACTTAAACTCTCTGGGCTTCAACTTCCTTGTCCTGAGAAATGGAGATAATAATACTTTCATAATAATCATTAAGAAGATGAGTATAGCTGGGTGCAGTGGCATAGGACTGTAATCCCAGTGGCTCAGGAGGCCGAGGCAGGAGGATCACAAGTTCAAAGCCAGCCTTAACAACTTAATAAGGGCCTAAGCAAGTCAGCAAAACCCTGTCTCTAAATAAAATATAAAAAGGGCTGGGGATGTGGCTCAGAGGTTAAGTCCCCCTGGGATCAATCCCCAGTACCAAAAATAAAAATAAATTTTAAAAAAGAATGAGTATAATGATAAAATAATTATAACAGTGCCTAATGCTTACCAAGTATTGACTATATGCCATGCATCCTTCCCTCACTGAGTCCTCAAACCCTATCATATATTATTAGCCCCCATCTGACAGGTGAGGACATAGGCTCACAAGGTGATGTGATCTGTCCAACATCATATAACAAGTCAGAGGCAGAATGAGAACAAATCTGTTTCCAAAGCCTTCACCAGTCTGCTAATCATGTGACAGCATCTGCAACAGGGCTGGTTACATTAGCAATTAACCCAAAGCATTTCATTACCCAAAAGCTCAAGTCTGTGTCACTGATCACCAGAGAATATGCTGTTTCAAGTATATAAACACCATAGAACTTCCCATTTCAACATCTCCAAATTTGGTTAATTCTGACCATGTTTAAAGATAGACACATTAAATACCCCCTGACCTTTTCCATGGAAGAAACTGAACATGACTTTCTCTTTGGTTGATGGATGCAAGTTCCTTAAGGCCAAACATTACTGTATTGTATTGTACTAATAATCCCAGTGCAGTAAAACTTTCTCTTTCCACCTCAGCCTATACCCTGCTCTCAATCTTCTCCATCAATATTTCCACCCACCTTTTTTTGCGGGGTGGGGAGGTTACCCGGAATTAAATTCAGGGGCACTCAACCACTGAGTCACATCCCCAGCCCTATTTTGTATTTTATTTAGAGACAGAGTCTCACTGAGTTGCCTAGCACCTCGCTTTTGCTGAGGCTGGTTTTGAACTCATGATCCTCCTGCTTTAGCCTCCCAAGCCACTGGGATTACAGGTGTGCGCCATACCCAGCTTCCACCCACTTTCTAGATTGCTATTTACTATGTGCTGGGAATGAAGGTCCACACATACACTTCAAAAATTATTCTAGGTTCCCAGACACATATGTTTAAATGACAAAATGACACTCTTCTGTGGTGGTAAAAGTCAGTACTAGAGTTTTTCAACAGTTATTTCTTATGTGCTCTGAGGTCCCTTGCTTATTTTCTGGCCATCTTCCAGAGGACTGAAGTGGCTAGATGTCAGATTTCCACAGAAGGGTGGTGTCTAAGTATTTTTTTTTTCTTTTTAGAAAACTAATTGTAATATTTGCAAATCTCTTAGCCATCTATATGTTATTAAAACAACTCCTCAGGGTTGAGCCAAATAGGTATTATTTTCCTTCTTATAGTATATTCTTCTCAAATTCCATCTCACCGTCTAACTAAATATGTACCTCATTATCTAAAACATCAAGTAAAGAATTCATGAAAGTCCCAGAGATTACTTAGAGAGCTACCCCTCTTACACTTTAGTCCTTATGATCGGAAAGCGTTAATGCTTCTCCCTAGAACCTTTCCCTCTACCCGAAAATAACTCAGAAGCAAAGAAGAATCTGGTTTAAAATACTTTTACTGACTGACCTACTCTGTTAGAATGAGTGCGTAATCACTGAGAAATACACACCCTAGAAGGGTACTGAAGTCACAAACTTGCTGAATTACATGATTCATGTGTGAGACCAGAAAGCAGGGCTTCACATGCCCTATTTTGCGTATAATTTGGTGGATTTCATCTTGGTCTCCCCTGTCCTGCACATACCATTATTATTCATTCAGGGCCATTTGAGAAGCCTGAGCATCTATTTTGAAATTCAATCATTAATGGCTTCTATAAGCTGTCCCACCACTCCAGATGGAAGTAAAAAAGAACTGCAGAGGAAATCAGTATACAGATGAGCTTGACAGAAAACAGGAAATTACTGTCCAAATGGCATGACTTCAGGGACATCAGAAAAGTCTGCTGTGGAAACAACCCCTTCTTCTTTCTTGGCTGATGAATGCCTGCATTTCTACCTCTGGAGAGATGCTCTGTTTGAAATATGAATATCTTTGGAAAGATAATTCTCCAAACCCTTCTTTATATAAACTCTGTGAGGAAAGTTCTCAAATGCATCACTAAAACATAGAAATATACATGAAATATATGAATTCATACCAAACTCTCTAGTTCCACTTATCTAAAATTAAACAAACCATCTGTTTCTCACAAGTAGTTTCGCTTTCTAGCTTGCCTATGTATGACACTGGCAGTGGTGTCATCTAAATATTCCATCTCAAGCATTAAAATATGGAACTTGTCCTTTATTCTCAGTAGCTGACAGTACACTAATAACAACAGCTACCACTTGATCATCTGCATGTACCAGATGCTAAGCCAGGAGCCACAGCAAGATGGACAGATAGCAAGGCTCCAGGGCCAAGGTGCCTGGGCTCAGATTCTACCACCACCGCTAAGCATTTACTTACAACCTCTTTTGTTGACTCCCTGGCCCATTTTCTTTCTACTA